GTCATTTAATTTTGGATTTTCTCGTAAACTTCTTCACAGTAATGTGGGTTTCGATTTGCATTTAATTTAAGCGCTTCAAAATTGCTTACATAATGTAACTCATATTTAGAAAGGAGTCATAAAAGCTGTNCCCCCAATCCAGGCTAGGAAAACAGGCGCTCGAAAGTGCGCTAAGTACCATTTTAAGGAGAACCGTGTTTTCTAGCTATTGCATGTACTGCTTATTCCGCTCTGACACATTCACAGCGCAATATCGCGCTCTACCGCCATTTCGCGAGATGACCGCTGGTCTAATTGTAAGTTTCTCCCAAATCGACTTCTTCCATAAATAGAAAATGATGGGATCCATTGACATCATATAATGCCTATCGATCTTGCGATTCGTGGGAACGTGATAATGAGGAAAGCACGTGATGAAGGCAGAGCCAACCAATCAATTGGCACGTAATCCTGGCGGGTAGTCCCGCTTTTTCACGCTTCCATGATTCACGGGATCGGTAACACCAGCGGCTTTTATGTTCCACGGTATCAACGTAAATAACCTAACTAACCTGTTTTGAAAACTGGTTTCTATTATATGCGCTTTTCTTTCCTCTTACTCCATTTTTTCTATGAAAACTAAACGGGAATCCACCACAAACTTTCATATGGTTGGAAGTTCTTTCTGACTACACTTGTCAACTAAGAATTTGGGTTAGTTTCAAAAAGAAAATGGGAGTTCTTCATACGGTTTTTCTTAGCACCATAGCAACGTCAGGGTGACATGTAAGGGACAAATAACAAGAAAACAAACTATGCACCCAAAAGATCGTCCAAAATCACAGGCCTCTAGTGTTCGTGTAAAAGAAAGTACCAATAAATGAAGTAGTGCAAACTGGTTCAGAAAAAGAGCAAAGACCTTACGGGAACACAAACAATGTGGGAAAAACCTTAGTAGGACGAGTTTCGCTGTGTGTCGCGTTCGCCCACGGAGAGCTCGTCCACTTTCCTTTCGTTTTTTTCTCTCCTCCTGATAACAGCGGCGCTTTCATTCACGAATATTGATGCTTACCACGTGGGTGAATTTGTTCTTTTTAATGAATTTCAGATTCAGGTTAGTCCTCAAAGACATGCTGCTTGTCCTCTAGCATTAAAGTAGTTTGGTTACTGGTTGGTCCTCGTCTCTCATCGTTATGAATACTATCCGTCTGATATCGTGCACCATACGTTGCCAGTTTAAAACGCAACATCAGGTAAGTGGAACCTTCCACTACCGTTTTATTGCACTTCTTCCCAATTTCTCAGATCCGGCAGATATCAACACTTGCAAAGTCATTTAATTTTGGATTTTCTCGTAAACTTCTTCACAATAATGTGGGTTTCGATTTGCATTTAATTTAAGCGCATCAAAATTGCTTACACAATGTAACTCATATTTAGAAAGGAGTCATAAAAGCTGTAACTAGGACATGTTTTCATCCTGGAGCAAGTACTTTGGTTCCCCTGCAGGTATTTTCCACTAACCTTCGTCACGAATTTCGAGTTGCTTCTCACATTTAATACGTTCAGGCAAAGACTGAACTCAGTGGTTGGCAGCTTGTTAGTCGACTTCTCCGATATGTTTGGCCGAAAGGTAACAGAGCAATCAAGGCAAGGGTTCTTGTTGCGCTCGCTCTACTAGTCGGTGCCAAGGTAAGTTTTCACTTTCCTCTTTCTCGAGGTTCTGAGGTTTATATTATGCTGGATATTTTTGACTTACCATTTTTACTATTCAGCTTGCAAACGTCTCTGTACCATTTTTGTATCGTGACATCGTCAATTGCTATAATGAGAAGGCACCTACTTTTTTACAACTCACATTCGACGCTGTTCCTAACGCTATCCTAACTGTTGGAGTATGTATAATTATTGCGTGTATGTTTTCATTCTTTCNACACTTTTGAGTGGATTTGGACTTTTCGAGCGGAAAAGCGTTTTCAGATGGCTTGGCTCGAACCTCTGCCGCACTTATGAACGAACTACGAAACGCAGTGTTCGCCAAAGTGGCCCATCACTCAGTGCGGAGCATCGCGAGGAAAATATTCCTTCATTTACATTCACTCGATCTCTCATTCCACCTTAATCGTCAAACTGGAGCGCTTTCGAAAGCCATAGGTTGTTATAATTCGTTTTGTTGTCATCCTTATAGTGATTGTATTATATTAGATCGCGGCACGAGAGGAATGAGCTTCGTTCTTTCGTCTCTGGTGTTTAACATTGTCCCTACTGCTGTGGAAATTGGAATGGTACGTATTTTTCTATATGTTTGCCCACTTTATAAGTGTTTCATCAAATATAAATGTTTAGGTTTCTGCAATTTTCTGTGGCACGCTAGGATCGGAGTTCGCTTATATGACGATGGGCAGCATTGGAATGTATGCGGTTGCGACTCTAGGAATAACTCGGTATGTAGATGTCTTTCGTGCCTGAGTGATGTCTAGATGTAAGTAATTGTTTCAATAGTTGATCGATTACGAGACAATTGAATTCAATAAGCACATAATTTTAAATGAAGTGGAATGCGCTTCCCGGCGCATACTAAGACACTTCTAGCTGCTTGTACCGCTTTTGTGCCTCGTACAATGCTCTTTTATTGATGTTCATACAGTTTTTCTTTCATATCTTTTCTAGCCCTTTTCCACACATTTTCTCTTGTTCTATCTCTATGGATATTTTCTTTCCTTCGCTCTTTTGTTTTCAAATCAAAGTTTGTCTTGATTCATTTCTCTTCTACGCTTCTTTATTTTTTTCTTTGTTGTGATTTATTTCCTGACATTTGTTAATCTACAGTTTTTCTTAATTCTACTCACCATCTTATTATGCTTTATCATTTTCCTTGGTTTTTTCTTCCTCTGTTTCGTTAATTAACTTCATCGCCGTTCTCTCTAAATACATCTTCTTTTCTTCCTGTACCTCGATCTGCTCCTTTTCAATCTTGCCTTCCCTCTTTACATCTTTTATTGTCTCTTTCCCTTCCTTTATTTTGTGTTTCTTTTCGTCTTTGCACTCTCTCCGTACTGTGTCTCTGCTACCAGGCTTGCTTAATTTCTTCCCTCTCTTCACTCGTTTTTATCCATTCCTCTCCATACGCTCACACTTTTGAGCTTTAGTCGTGGATCGCTGTTCATTGTACAATGCCCCTCTTTCCGTGACATTTAGTTTTCATCTTGCATAGCATCAAAGAAAAAAAACAACTAGTAATGAGCCGTATGTGACGGTTTCATGTTTTGACAGAATTGATTATGATCTTAGTATGGCTGGAAAACTGTGTTCATACTTTCACTATCTAGCTCTAATTTATTCATACTACCTGAACAGTCAAAATCATCAATAATCATGTTGAGGTGGCGAACGAAATTCCGTCATGAAATGAATCAGGCAGACAATGATGCTGGTAATAAAGCTGTTGACTCCTTGATCAACTACGAAACAGTTAAGGTGAGCTGGGCGTAATTATAGGCTTTTACCTTTTTTCGTTATCGGTTCGCCATACTCCAAATAGCGTTATCAAATCGAAATTAGACAAAAATAAAATTGGCATTAGTTCTCACAAGCCCGACCTAACTGTTAGTGAAAGCAATGCTTTACCTTGGTTTCGCTTCTGAAGTTTTCATAGGAAATTAAAACAAGTTCTATTCAATCTGTGCGATTTTGTTATTTGTATGTATGGTCTTTTTTTTCTATGGGACCTTCTTTTTTGTGTTTTTCAGAATGCTTTTTTATCAAATTTGGGTGGTTTTGATTAAAGGGAAAAAAACTGTGTAGGGTGGAATACGCTAGTACGGTGAGGTCAACGAGTACATCATTCTGTTTTGGGAAAACATTGGTTCCTTCTCATAAGACGTGGAGGTTTTATCTGAGGCACGGAACCCAAATTTCCTGGGAATCCGCAGTGACTAGGCGGGGACGAAAATGAAGGGGTTATAGGACTGGCTCAACATGAATGGAGTCAATTTTACATATATTGTGAAAGTGTTGGACAGTATGACTTGTTTCTTTGCTATCACCTATGATATTTTTAATTTAATCGTTAGTTTTATTAGGAACTTCTTCAAATGAGGATCATAGTGCTTCCACAGTTTCCATGAATAATACAGACTTCCCTCACAGTTGTAGGCGAAAATTTCTCCCTTCTTTCGCTTGAACTTTTGACAATGAGAATTGCACTTGACACCATGTAACATAGCATATAGGAAGTGGTGTCAAATAATGCAAGAGCGCGATTATCCTTTTCAGATATTATAGTGAATTAATTTTTCTCTTTCAACAGTACTTCAACAACGAGAAGTTCGAAGCCGATCGCTACGATTTCTTCCTGAAGAAATTTGAACAAGCATCCTTGAAAACAACGTCTTCACTTGCTTTGTTGAACTTCACACAGAACGCTATATTTTCCGCAGGGCTCATTGGCGTCATGTATCTCGCAGCAAATAAAATAGCTCATGGTTAGTGAATAGAATTTCAGCATGCTGACATCCTCCACCCTACAGTTACAACGCGATTTTCTTTTCAGGTGAGGCGACTGTTGGAGATTTGGTTCTGGCAAACACCTTACTTTTTCAACTCTCAATACCGTTAAATTTCTTAGGTGTGAACGAACTAATGCCTCGCGTCGGTTGTAACTCGAAAGAACTTTTTTAGGTTCCGTTTACCGTGAGGTTCGTCAAGGTCTCGTTGACATGAACGCCATGTTTTCCCTCCTGAATTTGAAGTCACAGATAAAGGAGAAGCCCAATGCAAAAGAACTCGTTGTCCAAGGAAATGATATAAGCGTCCAGGTAAGGGAAATGCAAGAGATAACGATATTGTTGACCACGGTGCTTCACTTTGTTTAGCTGTTCAGATAAAAGATATCCATTTCGGATATTTACCAGGAAAACCGATTCTTAATGGTCTCACAATGGAAATCCCCGCTGGCAAAAAGGTTGCCATAGTTGGGGGATCTGGTTCAGGGTAACTTTTCATCTTCTACTCTATTTGCACTCTATATCAAATAATAACAGAGAGAAGCATGAAATTTATCATCTTTTTAGGAAGTCGACACTTGTACGTTTACTATATCGGTTGTATGACCCCGATAGTGGCACCATCATTATTAATGGCCTAGATATTCATGATCTTACACTTGGGTCTCTCAGGAAAGTGATTTCGGTGGTACCACAGGTGAGTGGACTAGGAGAACAGCTTCCCACATAGAGAAGCTGCTTTTGTTCGACTTATGTCCTTTTGTTCCGTTTTTATTATAGGATTCGGTATTATTCCACGATACGATTTTCTATAATCTGGCATATGGCAATCCTAACGCATCTAAAGAGGATGTTTTCAAGGCTGCTAGGCTGGCTGACCTTCACTACTCAGTTGAGGCAATGCCGAAGGTGAGACTTTCATTGGTCCGAGTTATAGGTACATGAGTAATTTCTTTATTTTGGGGATACGAAACTGTTGTCGGTGAGCGAGGGCTGAAGTTATCTGGAGGAGAAAAACAGCGGGTTGCAATCGCGAGGGCGATTCTCAAGGTACCGTCTTCTGTCTAATATCATTTAACATCTCTAGTAAATAAGTTAAAAAACAGGATGCTCCGCTTATCGTTTACGATGAGGCGACGTCGTCATTGGATGCCATCACTGAAGCAAACATTATGCGGTCATTAAAGGAGGCAGTTCATAAAAGGTTCGATAGGTAATCTAGTATGCGCTATACATTAATATACCGTCTCATTCCTGCAGAACCTCTCTCTTCATTGCTCATCGACTGGCTACAATATATGATGCCGACATAATTTACGTCCTTGACCAAGGTCAAGTGAAAGAGTTTGGTTCTCATGATGAACTTATGCGACGTGGAGGACTATACGCCCAACTTTGGAACAGCCAACATCAAATGGGAACACTGGTGCCGGTAATAGATTTCACCCTCTTTTTTAGAGTTAAAGTTTTTCGGGCGTTTCAAACCTGTTTATTTGTATAGCCAAAGGAGCCAAAGAAACACGAGCATTTGGAAACATTGAAGCTGGACCTGGATGATTGTTGTGGAAGTACGAACTGCACCCGCTAAATTAAGATTTGCAATGAATTCTTGCTCAATTTTTCTAATAAATTAGTTGTGAGGATAGTTGTTATTGGAACATTTGTTATTGTTTTAGGCTAGATGACACTCATTGTCATGCTCATGTGATAGTGATGTTTTAGTTACAAACTTCGGTTCCTAGCAGTTATACTGTCTTTGCGAGATAACATTGTTGAATTTGTTAGATTCTGCTCCTGTTGATGCGCGCCCTACTTGTCCCCAGTATTAGATCCTTCACTTCGCCGTGTGATAAAAAGAAAATTTTATTTTCATTACTGTTTTCGCGTCATAAATAGATTTGGATGTAGGTCTTCTTTCATTCATCTGTCCCGTTCTGCACGGTCCCTATCTCATTTCTTTCTTCGACATTGTTTTTCCAACGTTATTCTTCACTATTCTGCGTTGCCTTTTAATGCCCAGATCACCATGTCGGGTTGCCTTGACCAAATAAGTTGCAACTGCAACATCGATTTGGACGGTAAGAGAAACGCTGTTGCCTCAATCACTGCTGCAACTCTGTTCTCGGTAGCTTGGTGGCTCATGATCGATACATCTGCCGTCTACGGAAAGGTGAGATGCTTCAGAATCGAGCGTGGTGCAAGCAGTCATTTAATTCTTTTCAGGCTGATTGGAATAATGTGTACTACATAATAACTGTAGGAAGCACACTTGCGATGTTTATGGTAAATGCTGTATCTAATAGTCAAGTGCGGGGTGAAAGTTTACATGAAGGACTGTTAGGAACGAAAGGTTGGTATTTTGATTCCCTTTATTTGTGTTCTCGGAACTAAATATGCATTCATGAGCAACTTATACAGGCTCACGCCTTTGGCTAATGGCGGCATTCGTACTCTCATTCGCATCATTGGTGGCTGCCACATGGGTACTCTTCAGCGACTATGTTCTTCTTACTGGGGATCATCCCGTATGGCCTGGAGTGGCTCTTTTCCTAACCAATTTTATAATTTTTGCTTCATCTTGTGTGTACAAATTTGGTCGTACCGAAGAAATGTGGGGATGAATGTGATGATCTGTGAGCTTCGACCCTTATTTATTTCAGAATTTCGCTTTTCTAAGTTTATGGAAATAGCGCATGTCATAATTCCTACTTACCTGTGTCTCATCATGTTCGTAAACCTACTTGTACCAGAACTATGAGTATACGTGAAGAAATTTCGTAAACATCTGTCTTTGTCAAGATGCCATTCATGCTATGCAATGGTCCGCAGGGATCGGACAACGTGGCGTAATAAAATAAAATCAAAAAAAATCGGTGGTGCTCCATGAAGTATGTCGGGAAATGACAATGAGCATCGACAATTTTGGATTCTCAACAAATGAAGCTGTATCGAAAATATTGGTTTCCTGGGAACTTCAGTAGTATTATTAGATGCTCAGTAAATGCTGAGAAGTGTTTGTCAATTGAAATTTTTCAGACTCGTATTTGGGAAGCTGTATCGAAAATATTGTTTTTCTTTTTTACGTTTTCGCCATTCATAAAAGCAGTAGAGGAAGTTTTCCTAAAAAGGTGGGCAATGTCAAGTTCACGCAAACATATTCATAGTCAGGGGTTGACAACCGTCTTTGCGAAACAAAATGTCCATATCCTAATTAAATTAGTTTTAAATTCACTCGGTAGCATTGAAGCTAAAACAGCACAAGCAGGGCCTTGCAGGGGAACACCGCTTCTACTTACCTCATAAGTAACTGTCGCATTTCGACCATGTCCGCTGTGAGAAGAAAAGTGCCTGAAGGGTTAGACAGACAAAAAAGTTGAGAAAAAACCCTTGTTAAATCAAATCTTCCGACTCAGACATGTTTTTACCCTCTTCGTGCCTAGGTCTATTGCTCTTGCAAGAGCAGACGTCAGACTTCAATACCCCTACCCCCCTACCGACTGTTTTCATGATTCTTAGAACTAATGGGATTAGACAACCGAGGTGAACGTAACTTCTAACTTATCTACATAGTACCGTGGTTGGGTCCTAAGTGAATGATGATCCAAGCTATCAGCGATAGTGAGACCCGTATCAAAGTCAATATTTTTAACAACGACTCTACTAATAGGTAATTAATGGAGGGATAGGGACGAAGCTGTATTTCAGCAGTATTCCACTTCGGCCCGATGCAACTATAGAACAGTGCGCTGTTTCTTTCGAGTGGTGCTGCAGGATGCTAGTTTAAGAAGGTGTGAAAGTAACTGCATTGTCATTACACAGATAAGCGCTTAGGAATGGGCTCGCAGTGATGGGTGGTATTTTTTATTTTTTTTTTTTGTACAACTGCTTCAGTGTGAGATGTTCATGTGCACTATTATCAATGATCGAGGAGGAAATCATAAGACAGGAATCAGTCTCATTTCAGATGTTCAGACAGGCATTTGATGCTCTGATACAGTCTGAACATTTTGTGCCTAATGTTACATCAAGAATCCGAAAGAAGGTTATTCATTCTGGTAGGATTAAGCGCTAGTTTTTTTTTAAAGGACCTCACATGGAAATTCTACGCCCCACAACAGCTATGCCGAGGTGAAAGCGAGAGAGAAGTTGGAAACTATTAGAAAAACAGCATTGTTTTCATTGCAGGAGCCTAGCCGTAGCTGGGCCTGATATTAGTCGTGTTCTAGGCATTGATAGCTTGAATTTATCTCCTCTAGTGCTGAAACAACGAACTTGGAAGGAATTGTAGTATGAACATTCAACTTCTCAGAAGGATTTTGAGCCTTATAACAAGATTTTGCGTTAAATAACAGGCCAAATCATAACATTTTGAATATTTCCAACCACTCCGCTCGGTATTGCATTGTGGGTGAAGCTAAATGCAAATAGAGAAACTGTCCTCGTGAAATCGTAGTGTAACGACTCGATCCTCCTGATGTTTTTTGTATGATTCTTGGCAATGCTACTAGACTAGCTTCGTTTGGTACTATTCCACCATGACGTGTGATTTGAATGGCCACGTTGGTAATAAACGAAGGGCCCAATAAAAGTTCATGGAGGGAGAATAGAAGTTAGAAACGGAAATGGCGAGAATTTTCGGATTGGTTACATCCCACGAACTAGCAGTCTGTGATAGCTTGTTCCCCAAGGAAGGCCCGGAAGATGACGTACCGCAACGTAGGGAAAACGCGGAAATGTCTATGTACTCATGAGAAGATCTCTCTCAAAGATCTGAATGACATCGAGGTACTGCTGGGCGAAAAACTGGCTCCGCAGCATAGTCCTCTTCTTGCTGATATAGCCATCGAGCTGCCCAAAAAGAGCATGAATTAGGGAATCCAGAGGTGGAAGCTGCACCGAGCTCAAAAGGTCGACCTAAGGCAAAGAATTCTGATAGTTGGCCCACCAGACGCGAACAACGTAGCAAGGTCACCTTGCAAAGCGCTAAAGAAACACTGAGATGGGGAGGGAAAGACGCGTGGTGCACGGGTTGAGTTAATGCAGTATGGTCCTGGAATGATGAAGTCCAAAGTGTCGTAAACAGCAGAAAGACGCACGCAAGCAGACGGAAACGCGAGTTCCAGAAGACCCAGCTTTATGCAGAACTTGTAAGTGGTACATCAAGGCTGCTGTAGCGAAGGCAACAAACACGGATGTGAACGCCTTGTACGAGAGGCCGGCAGTGGAAAAGGGAAAGGTTCTCCGCCCACCAGACCTCACCTGCCAATGTCCACGAAAACTAGAAACGACTCGTTAAGGAATTGGCAGAAGCACTCCGGGTAGAGGAACGTCTATTCCCGCCGCATAGTAGAATTTTCGTGACTTCTTCAATGCACAGAAGGTATTCCCCGTCCGAAGCTCTGAAGCTGTTTGTACTGCTGGCGGCGTTCCTCGGGCGATCGCCCTTTCCATGAGGAACGCCACTACATCGACTATACTGAAAACAGTGCCGTCGACCCTGGGGAACGTTAACGTAATGAATTTGATGACGATGAAATTTATTTCATTAACCAATAAAATGTGATCAAAAAGTTATGTTTTGAAATTCTGCGTATCGACAAATACTTTCCTCGCAACCTAATGTTGCGGTTAGTAAGAGGCAACTCACCGCTTCACCAAAGACGGAAAAGATTGTTACGGTTTTTTAGTTATATTTCACAAAAATTGATCGCAGCTTTTACTGATTCCATGTGATGAAAGTTTAATCTGAAACATTTCGTGTAAAAAAAAAGACTGATGCTCAGTTAGCATCTGAAACTCAGAGATCAAGTTAAAGTGCTGCATCTATTGACCTGGAACCTCAAACTATATCACTGACCCCATACTGTTGTGGTTATCGTGTGATTTTTAAGCATAATGTCCGAGAGAAGGGTAGGGGGAAGGGGGGAGGGCACCCTCTCATAATGACGAACGAAGATTTATAGAGCTATCTCGAGGTTTCTACATCTACGTAGAGTGTAGAGGTTTTCGGTTGGGCTCTACGGGTCTCTGAAGAACTAATAAAATGGCATATGGGCATATGAGAAGCAATATGACAGGCTTCTTCCTCGTTCAAAAGCTTTAACAGTCACCGCAATCCGAGCATGAGAAACAAAAATGAGGGCATCACCATGACTTTCAACTTTTTGCCTTTTATTCTTTGTGTGACTACGATCGGTATTCTCACATGCTCTATCGCCTCCGAAGTCGAGCATCCGCTCGGTGTTGGTGGACTTGAGTTCACTAGCTTGACAGGATTTGNTCGGTTGGGCTCTACGGGTCTCTGAAGAACTAATAAAATGGCATATGGGCATATGAGAAGCAATATGACAGGCTTCTTCCTCGATCAAAAG